TTTCTTAGAAATGTGATTATCAACCTTTGATTTCAGGAGAGAAGGAAACACACACCTGTACTCTCATGGCCAATTGTTCTAGTGTTTTAGTTCTAGTAAATGGATATTGTTTTAAACGAAATGCTGTTTCTATGGCAGGACTTGTTCATACACGCCATGTTTCTTCTGAAAATGTTATTTAAGCAGGAAATAGCTCCGGTCCTACCTGTTATGAACTAATTAAAGGTTTGGACTCTTTGAGCATGCTCTTAAATCCAGGATTAGAGTGTCTCAAATAATTGTGATACCACAGGCCATAGCACTGTGCCTTTGGGAAGCTGGCACAGGACTGAGAACCAAGAAATCCAGGTGTATCTGCCCTGCCCTTGACTAAGTGCAGCAAGGTCTCTAGCCCAATTATTCTTTTGTAGTGTGAGGGTCATACTTTGGAGTGTGAGGGTCATATGAGACAATGCATAAAAGTACAAGCAAGAGGAGAAAGTCTGGAACAATGATCGAAACCCTCACTCATCACTTGGCACTTCCCACCCCCTCTGGGCTCTCCCTCCCATTCATTCAGCTGAGCTCCCCTGTGCTCTTGCCTCAGAGTGACAGCAGCAGAAGGAGGAGAGGGGAAATTCTTTCTGGCTTTTGAATTTCAACTCTAGCCCCTGAAGGAAACAGAAAGGACTAATCATGGGCAAAAGATTTGAGAGAAAACATGGCAAGTAAAATAAGGTTCTGAAACATTGAGTATATTTCTGTTGTGGGCCTCTGATGCTCAGACCCTCCACCGCTCCATGCATTTCCCAGGACCAGAGTGCCTGCTGTCCTTGCTACTTTGAACATTGTCCCAGAGTCCTTCCACCTTGTGAGCCCAAGAGGTGTTTCTTGAGACCACCCCCAGATAATAGCTGTCACCATAGTTGCCTGTTCTGTCTCCTTGGTAGCGCTTCTCATCCAGTGCCTGAAGATATTTACTTGTTTATGGGCTGCTTTCTCTCCTCCACCAGCACATAAATTCCAAAGGGTTGGGACTTCCTTGCTCTAAACCACTTCATTGTCTACGGCAAGGTGGGTATGGGTACTATAAAGGACCACAGAGTCCAAGCAGCAATCAGAACACTCTGACTTGGCCTGGTCCAGGGCTGCACACCTGTGTAATAGGTTGAGGACAGAAGATCATTTGAGCTCAGGAATTCAAAGCTGTAATTTGAGATGACCAGGTATGGGAACACCCACGGCACTCCACCCTGGGCAACATAATGAGATCTCATCTCTAAAAAAATAAAAATAGCCCTGTGTCCTCAGGAGGCTGAGCTGGGAGGATGCTTTGAGCCCAGGAGTTCTAGTCTACAGTGAGCTAGTGTAGGGTGACCAGACGTCCCGCTATTGACGGGACAGTCCCGCTTTTTAGCAATTTGTCCCACGCCCCACCTGCGGCTAAAAAGTCCTAATTTTTGGAAAGAATGCATGAATGGGCAGGAGAACAGGAAGGGAATATACAGTTTTCAGCTGCCATGTGGCTATTTCACCAGAATATGAGTTTCATATTATTTTTGTTAATTTTATAATGTTAAACTGTAATAATAACAAATAATTATTGAGAAGTGATTATCGAGAACTGCTTATCAAAGTTTGCATTGTTGTCAGGCCCTGCTCTGTCCCCTGCATGTTGTCCGCTTTACAAATGTTAAAATCTGGTCACCCTAAGCTAGTGAGATGTGATCACACCATTGCACTCCAGTCTAAGCAACAAAGCAAGATCCCATCCTTAAAAAGAAAAAGAAAGAAAATATTGACACTAGGGCTGATCCTAGCAATCTAGGAGGACAAGCAGGAGGATTGCTTGAGGTCAGGAGTTTGAGACCAGCCTAAACAAGAGTGAGAACTTGTCTCTACCAAAAATAGAAAAAAATAGCTGAGTATGGTGGCATGGCTATACTCCCAGCTACTCTGGAGGCAGAGGCAGGAGGATCACTCTTGAGCCCAGGACTTTGAAGTTGCAGTGAGCTGTAATCACACCATTGCACTCTGCCTGGGGCAATAGAGTGAAAGGAAAAGAACTTGGAAAAATAAATTAAGGAAAAGAAATCGGAAAAATAAATTAAAATTTTAAAAAATAATAGACTGACATTTAGGTATCTGTGGCACTGTCATGAAGTGAGATAAATGGAAATCTACTAAATTCTTACATGATCTATACAAGCAAAAAAGTTTTATGTTAAGTGAACAAAAATCTAACTGGAGTCATAAAAACAGGAAATCATGGCCCCTCAATCAGTTTCCAGACTAGAGCCAGTTTAGAGACCTAGACCAATTGAATGAGGCTGGGTTCCCTTGAGGAAGGACTCCTATGAATTACCAAAAATTTATACTGTTGCTTTCTCTTCTGGCCCTTCCAAGAATGACCTGTGGCCTTTATCAGAAAGAGTTGGCATGGGAGGAGAGAGGAAATAATCAGACTTCTCAGAATTTATGGCCGCTGGTTCTGAACTAATTTCTGGAGACTCAAAATATCACTGTGGCCCATAGGTCAGCATTAGGGCTTATTCAAGTAGTCAATGGAGTTCTAGCTCAGGTCTGCCTCACAGTGGGCCCGTGAGTCACTGGATCCATCCCATGCTTACTTCCCCAGTGTTGGAACGTAAGATCAGAGTAGACCTGGTCAGTACCTGGCAGGATTCCCTCTTTGGTACAGCACCTATCCACCAGTTCCCTTTACTGGGAATTTCATAACAAAGCAAAGTTCTAGGTTAGGAAGTCCAAACCCTTCTTTGTACACGTGGAAGTTCAGTGGTGGAGTCAGGGATGACTCAGGGAGGACTCAAGTTGGAATTAAGTCCCTTTGAACTTGCAACTCTAGAAATAAGTAAACTGTGCATTCTGAATCCAAGGGTTAGATGTCTTCATGTCAGTTTTATTGCAGATGCCAGAGGTTTCCAGTTACGCTACCTTATTTCATTGCTGAAGCATCATTAGCAATATTGTTTCTGCTTATAAGGAGACTCAGTTCTAGACTGAGATTCACCTGGCTTAATAATGTCATTGTCTCTATGTGTGCTTTCCTTCTAATTCACCAGACCAAGTCATGAGTATATCTCTTTAGAAACACAAATATATCTAGCTGTCACACTGTGTGTGACTTTCAATATTTATTCAGTACAAAGAATGATTTCCCTGCCCAGGGACAACAGTGTTTTGTGGGAATGAAGAACAGGACATCACCAATTATTCAGCTGTCTCTCACTTTCCTAAATGAATCTCACACCAAGGAGCAGACACTTTCCTTCCTCCGTTTGTTACAGAAAATTAGAAAGATGGGAAATGGAGTTGGCATCACTGATTCATTTTCATTTGCCCTAGAATTTTATTATTTGTCTCCAGTCATTGTTAATTATGGGAATTATAATTCTTTGGACGTCAGGCAATATTAGAGCCAGGAACTTCTCCCTGGGGGCCAGGCACCACTAAGCATGAAGGTCAGAAGAAAAATGTAACGCCAAAGAAATTAAAATAAATTTCAATGTGTCTGCATATTGTAAGTGAAAGAATAGTCATTTCTCCTTCTGTGGATGAAGCCTAACAGACACATACTTCATAGCTAATTGCAATATTTATTCACTAACTATATT